GGGGGGTTGGTTAGGGGTGGTGAGGGGTTTGTGTAGAATGCCCCACTGAGTTAACTATATAATATAGGAAGATATATATAAATACATATACATATATATACACATATGTGTACCTACGCTGATTACATCCCTAACGTCACGCTCACTTATGTCACGTACGCTCACACACTTATTCCTTTTCCAGACTGCAATACCAAATGCATAATACCAAAAATCAAATTGTATCTAGGAAATTGATACAAACCACCCTGTAGAATACTACAGGTATACCGCTTTCTTTAAAAAAATAGTAGTACATGCCCATGCCAGTGAACGTTCCTTCAGGATGTTCATCACACTTACGCTTTTTTGACAGATATCATTCAAGCATTAAAAGTATACTAAAATAACGTTAAAAAATATACAAGAAAAATTGCAGATCGTTTGACTGTACCCTTTTTTAAATGTTTAATTTAAAACATTTGCAATTTAACTTGTAACCTTGTGAAAAAACAACTTCGAATTGCATTTATGAGATCTGTATGAAACTCCAAATTTTTTTTAGATAAACCTGTTTTATGTTCGAAATAGAATTATAAATTTTTTTTTTTTCTTTATAACATAAGAAAAAAGGAGTCAAGTATGCGTAAAAGCGTGTATGTAAGTAGGGACATCCATATTAAGAAAATAACTTCCAGCTTTGCTGCAAATATTTGTGCTCCTCCTACCTTTCTAAACTTTTCCCTCACTATCTGTGATGAACATTTTTAACTCAAAAAAATAACCTTAATCACAAAGGAAAAATTGTTAAAGAAGAAAATACAATAAGAATCAATTATTGTATTTGTATCTGTAGTTTTGTCAACTGTATATATGCAGAAGTAAATAATACGTCCTCAAGTGCAAACTTTCATCCAACAAAAAGCAGAGTTACGAAAATTCGTCAACGATGACGTCTCACGCAATGCACTTACAATCACGTACGAACATATTGGATGAGTGCAAACGACGTCAGTTACTTTTGAGACGTTTTCGAACCATTGAGACACTAATAAAAATGGGATTGAAATAGACAAACCTATGTGGATATATTCAAATAATGTCTAGCCATAGCCAGGAACAGAAAGATGATAATTATGGGTTTACGCCAGCAACGGTTTTTCCTGAAGACGAAAGCAGTCCATTCGATACTTCCTGGATTGCACACAATTCACCTCAAGTGAAATAACTGTAAGGGTGAGAACTGATTTTACTTTTCCATTAAATTAGCACGAGGTTATTCAAAAATGAGTGAATAAGAGTCGCCCAATTTTAATAATTTATTATGTCAAGTATATCTAAAAAATCTTCAAATTAATTAGATTTCATAACCCAAAAACATTGCATTTCTTAAATAAACTTCATCAGTCTTGTAGGTTAATGGTCAAGACATTATAGTTGAGGCAGAACAGAAAGAACAGCATGAAAGTGAAAATGGTCCTTTAAGCGACTTTAAGACGTTTCATAATGTCTCTGACTCATAAGATTTGGAAAAGGCCGAGGCATTGCTTGGTTTAGATAAAGTATTAACTTTGTATGCTCCTCGAAAGGACAAAAAATCAGTTGATGAAGAAAGTTCTAGCAACATCGAAGAAAGTGGAAAATCACTTATCAATGTAGAAAAGGAAATTCAAAAAGAGAATTAATAAATAAATGTGAATAAATCATTTGATTTACTAATGATTTGAAACAAATTTTTTTAATTATGTGAAGTGTCCTTAGAAATTTCAATCGCCACTAAATGTAAGTCACTTTTAGCTGATATAAATTATCAATTGATTGATAAGTTATAGTATGCTGTTGGTTTCAAACCCAGATAGATGGTTAATGCTTTAATCGTCTATATACCGTAACTCAATTTCTATTCTGGCTGTACTCGGCTTTTCTTTTTGAACTATTGGTGAACCAATTGAAAATTTCGTGGCACATTTGTTAGATAGCTGCTGGAAACTCTCCGACAGCAATGGAAGTGGCTTTGTAAGACACTGTCACCGGATTGTTATGACACATATGTATTTTAATCACAGAGACAAGATATGGCTGCGTGTGTCAGCAGTACCGTATCTATAGAAAAGACATTTCTTATACGAGGGCATTCTTACATTTGCGGTCTGGGCTACAACTCGTCAGTATTACGGCACTTAGCGACCCAACCCCCTTAAGCTGTAATTTAAGTAAGATTTAAATCTCAAGTTACTTCTGTCGTTTCAGTCGTATGAGCCATGAATATACTAGGATGTAATACTACTACCTTAACTACTGCTATGTTGAAAGATGATAATTGAAATGGTTTGTTTAATCTTCAATTGATTGCTATAAATACGATTTCGTAGTCTCGTATTTTGATAAGATTACTGAAATTTAAAGCATGACTCATCCATTTTAGTTTAATTAAAGAAAAATTTTTTTTAATTAAACGCGTACAAGATTTAAAAATTTCAGAAATGTTATGTATATCTGGAATACAATAGGTATTAGATTGCGATTTATAATGAGATTTTAATTTTTGTTCACGTCTTTTGTGAGATCTTTTTTGAAGGTTATTGTTGGGATTGAGTCTTAACTTATTTAACATAATGTTTACTTATAAAATGCTTATAAACTTGTGTCTGAAACAGTACTCAACAATAATTTTTCTAAAAAGATTACATTGTAGCAAAGAATAAAACAAAAAAAATTATTAAAACTATTGAATGAAAAATTTTTTAAGGTAATTGTTTCCTAATATTCTGGTCAATCGTATATACAGATATATAATACTAAGGTTTTGTTCAAATATCATCCTGTATTCAAAATATCAGAGAGAA